TGTAAATTCTGTTCCTGAGAACTGAAATCAGTTGGCAGAACAATTACGTGGAACTTTAAAACTCCAGATGGCTCTGAAATGCGTCCTGCCACTGGATTACCTTTCCTGCCCAGCCATTCCTGCTCCAGGGTCCCTGTGGCTTGGCGTGGGTCATGCTGAGGTAGAACAGAAAGTGGAGGCTGACTCCTAAGGAGCCCCTTGGACTATAATGACCCAGCACTCGGGAGCTGAGCTCAAGCCAAACAAAACACATAGCAGATGCCAAGAGAGAGGTTTCGTGGGAGAGTCCAGACCACTGGGCCAGGACGGTGGCTTCTGATGGTTTCAAAGCAAATTCAGACCAGACACCTTTACAGCAGAGGGGTAACTGCAGAATAGGACGTGAAGAACTGCCTGGAACTGGGAGTGGGAGTCTCAGAGCACTCTTCTGAATTCCTAAAGACATCACACACCATCCCATCCTGGGCTAAGTGATATACATTTTCACCAGGAGCTCCTAAAGCTGTCTTTTGCTCATGCATCACTTCATGTTTGCTGAGTCCATTCCATACCTTCATGAGCCATTCCTAGTGCTTCTGCTTCTTTCACAGAGAAAATGAAAGTAGCGAGAGAAGAAATGAGTTGAATATAGTCACGTAGTGTAAGGACACAGAGTAGAGGATGCTATGTTGCCACTGATGTTCATGCATCAAGTATTTCTAAGAAGGTGCCAAAAAATCCACTAACTGTGGTCACCACCAGAGAGAGGCACCGGGTGCTCAGAGAGGGAAGCCTACACTCACACTTTCTCCTTTGGACCTTTGATGCTTTGTACATGTGTGCCCGTTACCTATACACCAAATATTTAATTATAACAAAGTTCTCACAGAAGGTAAGTAGGCTCCATTCCACCTGCTTGGTACCTTCTACAAAGGAAGCCTGGGCAATCCCAACAGAGATTGGGTAGCCTGGGGCCACTCAAAATCTTAAAATATGTTGGCAGGGGTCGTGGGGATATTAAGCAAAGTCTCCATTGTACCTGGAGTGGGGGGAAAGCCTGTTAGGAGTTCTGGTGATATGGGGGATACTGGGGCGAGGTAAATGGCACTATTAGAAAACAGCCAGTCAAATCCAGAATGAAGGGCATTCTACAAACAACTGATCTGGGCTCTCGAGACAGTGATCATCATAAAAAGCAAATTGGCAGTGGTAGGGTGACGTCTGTTCCAGGCTGAAAGAGGCTAACGCGACATTACAACCAAAAATAAGGTGTGTACTTTGACTGGGTCCTGGATTGTGGGGGATGGTGGGGAGGAACAATTAGAAAAGACACTTTGGGATAGTTGGGAAAATGAATTTAGATATTAGAAGACACTATAAAATTATTGATAATTTTCTTAGATGTGGTAATGTATTGAGATTGAGTTAGAGAATGCCCTTACTTTTAGGAGAAGCAGAACAAAGCATCTAGAGGAAAGGTATTATGTTGTTTGTAATTTTCTTTCAAATGATTCAGGATGTGGGATTGAGTATATATATATTTAGAGGGAAACAGCAAATGAGGGAAAATAGTAACAACTGGTGAACTTAAGTGAAGGCATATGGGTGTTAATTTTACTCTTCTTTCAACTTTTTTGTAGGTCTAAAATTTTTCAAAAGTTGAGAAGTAAAGGGGACAGTTTAAAAACAAACCAAAAAAGGGACAACAAACGCGAGAGTCCTGGGCTCCATCCCACTCTGTCTCCCGCTAGCCTCCAACTTTGGGAAAGTCCTCAATGTTTCTGGGCTTCAGTTTCCTGTCCAAGGAAGGAGGGAACTCAAGTAAATGGTCTGTGAGGTGACCCCAGTTCTGAAGTCTGTGGACACGATGAGGAATTTGCAGGAACAGGACTCGGTTACGCCTTCTCTGTCCTTTCCCCCTACCCCATCCCTCCACTCTACTTTTCCTCAAATAGCTTGCTTTGTGAAGTCTTGAGGTGTTTCCTTTTGTTGAAAGGACTTTAATGCACTGGTTTCATTACATTCTGCATGCTTTTTAAAAAAAAGTTCTAAAGGAACTGCAGTGAATGTGGGAAATATGTTTATAAGTACATGAAAATGCATAAAACCAAACCATTAAAGTACTGCCTATTAAAAATTGAAGAGCATAAAAAATTATACCACTTCAAGTTTTTCTTGGTCTTGCTATATAATCTTTTGCTATAAATATATGACTAACAAAGACGGAGGAAATTCTTTACACTGTTGTGGCAACAGAAGAGACCATCAGCAAAACACTGCTTTAGGGACGAGGCCCTGAAGGGGAGTGTGGGGAGAGGAGCCCTGTATTCCTGCCTCTTATGTAAGTCTCTCACCAAATCTCCTATCTGAATTCCTCATATTTACGTCTCCCTCATTAGGCTACAAAAGCACAAGGATGGCAGGGAACTCTGTACCTAGCAGAGTACGCTGCATTTAGCAAGTGCTCAATTAATGCTTGCAATTTTATTGAAATCTAGCATCTCATTTGGTATAATTTGGTTTGTAACTGTCAATTAGAAACGAAACAAAACATCTCGTGAAATGCTCATTTCTTTGATGTTGCTTCTTTTTTGTCTGACACGTTCAGTTTTATTAATAGTGCTTTCTGGTTACAGGCCTTCAACAGTGGGAACTGGACAAACATGAATCTCTCTACACACTCGCTGTGTGAGATGCAATGGAATATTCAACACGCTCTGTGATCATCACACCATCTACTCGCAGGCCGTTGGAATGGTCCTCTGAGCTCGCTATTAGCTGTCACCTTCTGCCCTTTGTCTAATCCCTTAATTGGTCCAGGGGAGCTGTGTAACCAAATTCTTGATTAACTCCTTCTAAGTCTTTCTTAAAACCTAGAAGAACTAGTTTCACATATCAGAGCAGTTCTGCTCTCAAAGGTATAGAGATCCTCTTTCTAACTGGAAATTTTATTCTAGATAAAAGTATGCCAAATTTCATAGCGGTATGTTTGCTACGGTCTATAATTGATTGCAATCTCAGAGGAAGCTAAGGAACACTGACCTTTAAGAGCCACAAAAAAGGGACATCTGTAATGTTTTCAACAATAAAGAAACTTAAAAAAACCCCAAAACACAAACAAAAAAATATTAAAAAAAAAAAATCCACAAAAAAGGTGGAAGTGCTGGCCCAAATATTAGCAGAACCCAAAGGTTTTAAAACATTAGGTGGATTTATGCTGATGCAATAATATCTAACCACCCTTTATCAGTAGACCAAGTGATTTAAGAATTATACGCCACCTCATACTAGGAAGGATCTAAAATATTTAAAAATAAACATTTTCTATGAATCCATAAAACATAACAAAGTAAGAAAATCAAAATCAAGGAAAACATACATTTAAAGGGAGGGAGGGTCAAGGGAAGGAAAAGCTGAACACTGGCCTGCAAGCCGTAAGACATAACAAAGGGTCATGGCTGGTCTTTGATTTTGGCTTTGAGCTTCCTGGCAATGAAAACTGAGAGGGAATCTTCAACGGTTCCATAGTTTTCACTAGTCACACGAAATACATTGCACTTTTCTAAGGGAAACAAAGCTGCTCCCCCCCAGTGAAAGTCCATGCTCTATTTGTATTTGTATCCTGTAGTTGTATGGAGCCTGGCAACACAGAGCATTCCTTTCTCCTACCATTTAATCCACATGCCTTTTCTTACCACTTAATTCTAAAAGGAATCTCTCATGTAGAGAATCATACAAGGGACCCTGGGAGACTCAGAGCCTCACAAACGAGCCTAAAGTAAATGAGGCGTTGGGTTTCACCCATCTGTTTCTTGCTGTATCCACTATAACTCCCAGCAATCCTGAAGTGTAGGTGGGATGTGAAGCCAAATAATGATCTAAGTTCACCTATTTCTGAAGAACATATTTGACCTGGAATACAGTCTACAATGTCTACAGATAGACTGTGTACCCCTCACACGTCTGCACATGTACCATTTCTTTCAACTGAACTTCTGATAATAATAATAATAATAATAAAAAATTTTTTTGTTAATCTTCACCTGGGGATATTTTTTCTATTGATTTTTTTTTAGAGAGAATAAAAGGGAGTAAGGGGGGGGAGACAGAGAGAGAAACACCGATGTGAGAGAGACACATCCACTGGCTGCCTCCTGCGCTCCCCGATCAGGGCAGGAATGGAACCCGCAACAAGTTACATCCCTTGACTGGGAATTGAACCCACAACCCTTCGGTGCTCTCTGGCCGATGCTCTAACCACTCAGAACCCTGGCCAGGGTCTGATAATAATTACACGGCATGTGCCGGAATTCAAGGTTACTTGCTCTGGTAAGGGCTGGAGTGCAAGTCCTCTCTGTGGCTTGCAGAGTAAGAGAGGATGGACAGGCTCATCTCAGGCAGTGACACAGCCACAGGGGCTCCATTCCCTGTGCTCAGGCCTCTAAAGGACGCAGAGCAAAGTGAGCAAAAGCACGAAGGGAAAGTCTGAATGGGAGGCTGCGTGTCTCCTGGGGTTACCATCTTCATCGTCAGCTGGGGTGACATCCATTTCTGCATAACTGTCGCCCAAGCGGAAAGCCAAAGCAGTGCTGAGAACAGCATACTGGGAGGGTGCACTCAGACCTCAGGCGGCTGCCTGGCTGGTGATGGGCAAGAACGGGGGTGGGGGTCCGGGAGAGCGGAATGAGGATGGCGGCTCTGAGAAACGTGGGGAACAGACCTGTGGTTCTTCTAAGTGCCTGCTTCCCCCCTGCGCCCCCAAATATGGGAAACACAAGTTCAGTGCTTTGTTCTGTAGTAAGTGCTCCTTCAAATTCTGGGGTTATCATTTTTTTATCAGAGCAGATAAAACCAGCGGCTCAGGTTCTGTACGCTGACACCTGAGCTGGTGAGAAGGTGGAGGTTTCTGTCGCTCTGGGTGGCGCCTGCGTCCACCTATCCATCCACCATCAGCCCCCACTCGGGGCTGGCTCTCAGGCAGATGTGGTGAGGGATGCCTCCACATCTTGTGTTCACATTACCTTGAACTTCCCTTCGTAGTTCTCGAAGGCTTCCATCACCATGCACACCGCCTCCATGGAGCGCTCCAGCCGGCCGTCTACCCCGTTGAAGCGGTACATGCTGCCAGACACATCCACCACCAGGCGCAGGCGCTTGGGTTTCTGTTGGGGGCTTCCCACCTGAGGGCGGAAACGACAGGTCTTGTGAACAAGGCAACCACCACTGGCTGCTGCTCTGGGGGTCTCACACGGGCCCGGGGTGCCAGCCACGGCGCAGGCTGGTAGCCATGGACTCAGTGCTGCCCACGGCGGTCCTGGCAGGAGGACAGGCACCGGCAGGTTGCATTTCAGTAAGAGGAATTTCAGACTTGTGCTGGTCGTCAGGGCCATATGGGAAAGATTTTCCTTTGGAATATATGGTCCTTTCAAGACTCAACCTAGCCTAGTAAAACTGCCTTAATGAAGCTGATGCCATCTTAAAAATCATAATCTGGAGAGATACAGACCCCAACATGTCATTTTCACATCATGCCTCAGACTCAGTTACTCTAGCAAGACGGGGACCACATGAATTTTACTTGTACCTGTTGTGTAATGATCATTTTCCACAGAGCCCACAACATATGCCAGATTCCTAAAACAAGGTTCTGTGAAGGGGCGTGTGGCAAAGAACTGAAGAATTTTCTTCAGTGTCTTTTGTTTTTAGTAAGCTTTCAGTTTTCCTTCTAGTCACTGAATTACTACTTTCTTTACTATTCTTGGCAGTTAAAGGCATAAAAGCAGCATCTAACTGCTGTTTAGTAACAACTGTCAATTAAAATGTGAAACTCTCCTGAGTTTCAGTTTGATTTTGGACTCATGCCTGCCAATTTGCAGAATCAAAACCAAAAGTATATTTGTCAGTTTACTTAGAAGAAAAAAGGAAGAAAAATTCTAGACTATTTGTTATATACTTGGTGACATGTAAGAAAGTACTGTGGGTATTAGTATAACGGTTTGAGACAAATTCAGTATATTCCTTAAAAACGTGCTGAGTTGGCCTGAGAGCAGTGCCACACATGCTCCCAGGNTGAAAACTAATGAGCAGTTAGTAATTTCAAGAAAGTACTGTGGGTATTAGTATAACGGTTTGAGACAAATTCAGTATATTCCTTAATAACGTGCTGAGTTGGCCTGAGAGCAGTGCCACACATGCTCCCAGGGCTACTCTCAGTTTCACATGTATCCGAACATGTCTGCTGACCACAATGAGTCAGTAACCAAAGCAGCTGTTGACTCATACCAATGACACAGAAGAAAGAACACCCCATATTGGCAAAGGGTCCTCTCTGAATAAACTTTCAAATGGAGTAAGTGACTCCCTTTCCCCAGCAGTCACTGTGTCCCCAGTTCTCAGTGGCTATTCAACAATTCTGGTTATTCAGGGACATAGGGAGTCACAGGGCCCTCCAGGAGACTCAATGTTTCACCTTATTGCCATTTTTGCCATTGTTTTCCAAATATTTTAGTATTATGACTATCTAAAGTTTTACATACATTTGCATTAGGGTTATTTAAAGGAAAATTGCTCAGTTCCTAAAATTTTTTTCAGTCATAGGATGGACACGGATCTTTACAGTAACAGAGCAGTAGAAAACCACCAAGACTGCTCTCGTGTTTTCACTGGCATGAGCCTCTGGGATTCACAGACCCTGAGGGTCTTCAGTCCCCTCTGGTACCCCGCTTGGTGTCCTAGGGGCTGACCTGCAGGGATGGCGTAGGCTCTCTCTGGGCTGCTGGCATCCAGGTGGGCTCTGCCAGTGAGAGGCACTGGCAGGACATCAGAGGGTGAGGGTGGAATATTTGTTCCCTCAGCGCCTCCTCTGCTGCGGCCCACAGCTCTCCCCCTTCTGAGGGCCACATTCTGTCGGCAGCCCTCTCCAGGTTCCAATAAGTGCTCCCGCCCTCTGTCCCTTCAGACCTCAGGCGGGTTAGAGCCCTGCTGTCAGGATACCATAGTCTCTATGGCTTTCCTAAACCCCACCTTTACTTTCGTAGTTTTTTTTATAAACTGTTCCTTAAATTACTCAATTTGAGTGTGCCTGCCTGATATATCTTGACTCATGCTGGGATCTTGAATCATATAATAAATAGTAAAATATTTATGTTTTTTCTAATTTTTTAAATACAGTGTTTTCCTTGGTTGCCATGCTCAGGGTTTATGGTGTTTTGATGAGGACAGCAGCTGTCTATAAAGAAGGCCGAACTGTAGATCTGAGGAGACGCATTCACCATCCCTTACCTGTGGCTCCAGCTCACCCCGGCGTTTGTAGATGGCTTTCTCTCCAGTCAGCCCATCAATGATTTTGGCATCGTCAAGTTCCCCAGTAGCTTGGTGTCTGAGCCACTGTCTTTCTTTACCTCTAGCCTACAATGACACACACACACGGATCCTTATTTTAATTAGTTCTGCAAGGTCCCTGACACACTATGTGTGAAGAACAGGAAACACACCCGGGGTCTTTTCCATAAGCAATGCTTCTGAGTGACCAGTTTCATAAAGGGACGGATTTCTGCTCTGCTGACCAAGAAATGCCCTTTGTGTGGATTTTGTCCACTTTAATTGTTTTAACATATGGAATGATAAAATGAACTCATTTAGAGTACATACTAATGGGAAAACAGTATGCAAATGAACCCCTTGAGAAATACACAATATCTGGAAATGTAATTGTGACGCACTTTGTACGGATTTTCGGTCACTTATTAGGTAGCAAAACAATCAGCTTGAACTTGTTAACACTGTCTGCAAGCACAGAGAAAATGTGGTCTCCAGAACTCTTCCCTTTGGAAAATAAGTTGTTACTAAAGTTCTCGGTGACTTACAATGCAAGTGGGAACAGCTGAAAACAACAGTACGTGAACATTTTGTGCCCCACGTCTCGATGATGACCTATATTTAGAAATCTAATGGTATTTACACATAATACTTTCCCACAATAACTTACAACTCTGCCAGGTGGACTAAGATGGTAGTTAAATGATAAAGAATTATAATACCCTACTCAAGGCCTAGGATTATAACAGTCAGGGGTTATACTCATAGTTAGAAGTGGGAAGAATAGCTGAAATATTTTAATGCATGAAAACTTCAGTAGCAGTTAAGATCATGTGCTCTGTGTAGAATCAGACGGCCTGGTTCAAATCCTCCTTTCACCTTGATCAGATATTTGACCCCAAACAAGTGACGTAACCCGTGTGCATTTCAGTATCTTCATTTCTAAAATGAAAATAACACTAGTTTCTACTTTCATGAATTATTCGTGAAGGTTAAATGAGCTACTATATGGAATCAGCTGAGAAAGAGCCTGGCAGTCTATGTTAGCTGGTATCACCACCTTCATCTTCATCATCGTCATCATGACCATCATCATCACGTGAGACAGAACATGGACAACCACGTCCACATCAACTTAAGCACATGTCCCTCACTGTTTCAGCTGAGGCGGCAGTCTGACAGCATTGTTACTGAAAATACAAAGCCATGCTTCAGGCAGCCACTGTCCATTTTAGGGGCAGACCGACTACCACGCATGGAAGCTCCACACGATATAACTCTGGGTAGTATTATATGTGTTGTTTTCTTATTCCTCATACCCTTGCTGCAAACAGGTACAGAATTACCACATTTGAATAGAGATCTATAAATGTGAACATGAACTAAAGAGAGGGAAACTCCTAAGCCACCAGCATAGATATTAAATTTGGTGGGCAGTTAATTCCAGGAACTACCAGGTATGTGCCCCTTGGGAATATGTTCTTTCCTGATGTGTGTTCTTGGTAAGAACCCCATGATCACAAAGGAAAATGGGACCCACTGGAGCACAGCTCAATGAGCTCATGTAACTTTATAAGATATACAGCTAAAGGTGGTAGGAGGAAGGGGTGAGCAGTCTTCTAGAACCTTTCTCAGTGGGCTCTGCACCAGACAGACAAGCTTTAGCAAGTGCTGCCCTTCTCAGGCCTCCTCCCCGCAACAGTGACTGGGACCCAGCTCCTATCTCCTCCTCTTCCCCGTCATTCCTGATGTCTGGAGGGGACAATTCCTCAGGCTTCCAGGACACTTTATGTTGGGAAACACAATTGTAGATGAGCATTTAGCCTTTAAATCCTGAGATTCTATGACTCTTAGAGGTACCTATCTGCACAGCACTGACTTCTAATCCTTTCATTGATGAGGACAGGCTCTCACAGAGTCGTTCAAGGCTGGGAACATAGCGCTGCAGAAAGTACAAGGGAACATGGTAGCAGTAGCAAGCTGCATGGAAGTTGGATTCTAGAGCTGGGTATAAGAGGAAGATGGAATTAAAACTGGAATGAGATTATATGACATGTTACATAACACCTGTGCCATGTTACCATTAAGCATTGATTTTCAAAGTTTCCTCAATTCATAGGCAAGGCAATGACCCTGAGGACTCCCCACCCAATTCCACTAGCTGCTACATGGTTTTATTAACCAGTGATGTTTTCACCCTATAAAGAACCATTGCAATGTCTGTAGATTAAGTGAATTTTGTTTTTTGTTTTTTAAAGATTTCCCATTGATTTTTAGAGAGAGAGGAAGGGAGAGGGAGGGAGACTAAAACATCGATGTGAGAGTGAAACATCTATTGGCTGCCTCCCCCACAGAGGACCAAGTCTGCAATCTGGGCATGTGCCCCCACCAATAATAGAACCGGCAACTCCTCAGCACATGGGATGACACTCAACCAACTGAGCCACACTTGTCAGGGCTAATTTTTGTGATTTTTAATGCAGGTTACAACTGTAGTAAAAACAAATGAAAACCCCTACCATCTCATCATAGTAGAAATAGAAAATGCCAGAATTATAACTAATAATTCTACTCCCTTTCCTATATTTTGGTGTTTCTGAAAACAAGATATATCTTCTAATTGCTGGCAAAAGAAACTTTCCAGGGTAACAGGCAGAAGGGTTAATTGTGACCTGGCTGTTATACCTGGAGGACATACATATGACCTTGGCTGAGCACAGTAGGTGTCATCTCACTGAATTTTTTTCCACTGGCAGCACAGAAAACTGACTTTTAACTTGAGTTAAAATTCTTAGTTATTAATTTAAATGGATTAAAAACATGACACTATAATAGAACATTAGAATAATGAGCAAAGACATGGAGCCCCAAGATGCAAAGTAAAACACGATTCTTTGCTGCAGAAATGACAGCACTTCCAGTAAGATCTATAAAGGTATAATTCCCCGAGAGGAGGACATATGCATACAGGGCTGCATATCACAGGCCAGGCCTTGCAATAAAAGAGAGGAGAAACCTCTGCATTTCATAAAATAGATCACAGCATGTTTAAAGTTAGCAAGAGCTGGGGAGACTGACTCATGTACCATGAAGAATAATCACTCAGACATTGTACGCCTGTCCAAAAGCTCAACGGAAGCTATTAAATTTCTAGTAATTCCATTAAGTACAATATGTAACTCTCAGTTTAACCAAATAGTAAGTGTAAAGGATATCGTAGTTTTTTAATTTTTTTAAGACTAGAGATTATATTGTCAATCCTAAAGGAATCAAAGAGGTCCAGATCATGAGTATGGGTTAATAAAAAAGAAAGAGAAAAAGCACTGTGCCAGTCTCTGGCTCATTACTGCTTTACTTTCTTCANGGATCATGAGTATGGGTTAATAAAAAAGAAAGAAAAAGCACTGTGCCAGTCTCTGGCTCATTACTGCTTTACTTTCTTCATTCTTATCACTGTTTACAAATATATTATTTCTTTGTCTCTATTATCAACCTGCTCCACTAGAAAGTTACGGGTGATGGGATTAAGAGCCCTATGTCACTCTAGAATCAAGAACAGTGCCTGATACATAGTAGGTGTTCAATAAACATCTACTGAATGGAAATTGATGGCTTACTGTAAAATGTTAAGTGATAAAAGTATGAAATAAAACCATGTATACATAGTATTATCTCAATGTATATGCATGTATATTACATATATACAAAGGAAAAGATGTAGGAGAAAACAAACACATTAATAGTCATGGTTATTTTTGAGTTCTAGAATTATGGCTGACATTGTTAATTTCTTTATTTTCCAATTTTCATATACTGAACTTGTGACTTTTAAAATCTGAAACAAACATAAAGCAGCTCTTTTTTTCTCAAAGAGATTTAAAAAAATCCTTTTACGATTTTAGGGCTTCTCAAATTTAACATGCATACAAATAACTTAGGGATCTTATTCAAGTGCAATTCCTGATTCAGCAGGTTTAGGCTGGGACCTAGAATCTGCATTTCTAACTAGCTCCAGGTGGTGCAGATATAGCTGGCCCACAGACCACACACTGATGATAGGGACACAGAGGACTCAGGGTAAGTGGTCTAGGCAATGCCTTATGCGCTAGCAAAGACCTGGTATCTCTCTGAAGTTTGCTTCCTACCACAGACAAACTACTAAAATAGTGTAGAGATCTCCTCATCTACACAGTGATGGCCACAACTATTACTTTCCCCACAAAATGTAATATGTACCAAACTTCATCTCACTAAAAAAGAAAATCTATCAAGAGAATAAGAACACAAGCCACAAACTGGGAGAAAATATGTGCAAAAGACATAACTGATTAAAAAAAACCTGTTATCCAAAATATACAAAGAATTCTTAAAACTCAACAATAAGAAAATGAACAACTTGATTAAAAAATGAGGAAAAGATCTGAACAGACACCTTACCAAAGCAAATATACAGATGGCAAAGATGCTTATGAAAAGATGCTTAACATCATATATCATTAGGGAATGCAATAAGAATGAAATACGACACACGTATCAGAATGGTCAAAATCCAACACACTGACACCACCAAATACTGGTGAGAACGTGGAGCGACAAGAACTCTCATTCACTGCTGGTGGGAATGCAAAATGCTACAGCCACTTCCAAAGGCAGTTTGGCAGTTTCTTACAAAACCAAACATATTCTTATCCTACAACCCAGCAATTGCACTCCTTGGTTATTTGCCCAAAAGAACTGAAAATGTACATCCATACAAAAACCCGCACATAGATACTTACAGCGGCTTTATTCATAATTGCCAACACTTGGAAGCAACCAAGATGCCCTTCAGCAGGTGAATGGATACATAAACTGTGGTACATCCAGACAATGGAATACTACTAGTCAGTGCTAAAAAAGAAATGACCTATCAAGCCATGAAATGACATGGAGGAAACTTAAATGCATATTACTAAGTGAAAAAAGTCAATCTGAAAAAGCTACATACGGTAGGAGTCCAACTTCTGACATTCTGGGAAAGGACAAACTATGGAGACAGTGTAAAGGTCAGTGGTCGCCGGGGGCTCGGGGGAGGGATGAACAGGTGGAGC